AAAAGTAGGCGCTGAATGAGCAACTTTGAAAAAGTATATATGTAAGAGATCGAGAGACTGCCCTTCAAATCTGCAGGAGGCTTTTGCGCTGTACTTATTCCACCTTGTAAATGGGATAATAAAGAAGCTGTTGAAATGAAAAAGTCTGTCTTGAGTTGTGTATTTTCACCAGGTCAGAATCAAAGGATCAGGAGCGGCAACTGATCCTCGACAAAACCCATTTACAGTCGAAAAGAAGAACAAAAAGAGAGGATGGAAGGAAGGATGGATCGATGGATCCAGTCTAAATGGGAGGGGGTGGGGGGTGCTCACTAGTCGCAGACATCTCAAACACAGCTCCCAAAGCCCCACCCAACACTGAGCTAGCTTTTTTTAACCCTCTTATACAGCTTCTTACAGTTTTTATAAGTGATGTTGTTACCCCGGCAAAGCTGCCAACACTGCCAAACAACTGCATGATAAAACAAGTGCAGCATTTTATTACACTCAATAAAGAATTAGTGTTTGCAGAGAAAGAGTCCGTGCTGCCCTTTTTTATTGAGGGCATCAGAGTTGATAGATCAATCCAGTTTGTCATCAAGTTGCACACCAAGATATTTGTATGACTACGCCACTTTGATGTCCAGCCGGCCGGCCGTCCATGTCCTACCGCTTATTCGATTTTGTGTCACAATGGCAGCAGTCTAACCATATACACCCAGACTTCTCTAACAGCTCATCCAAGAGATGTAATCTCTCCAGCGAGTCCTAGGTCTCCCCCCAGGGCCTTGTCCCGGTAGGACATATCCGAAATAACTCAACTGGCTTCTTATGATGTGGAGCTCTACTCCAATGACCAAACAATGACCAAGAGGGCGAGGAAGCCGGTTCCATCCGTTTAAAGAAATATTAGTTTCTTTAAATTTTCCATGGCCATTGCGTACCTATGACCTCATTACTTCACTGCCCAGAGCTTGTAACCATAGGTGACGGTAGGACTATAAACTGACCAGTAAATTGACTGCTCCGCTTTTACGCTCAATTCTCTCGTCAAGTTTTGATTGTATTCATGATGCGGCAGTTCTCCTTAATCCAGTTACAGAAGGCACTGACCAGGTTCCTGTATTCTTCCACCTGTACGTTCCTAATACATCCCACAATTGCTGTGTCCTCGGAATATTTTTGCATGTGGCTTATGTTAGACTTATAGTTCATGTCCACAGTGTATACTGTGAAGAAGAACAAATAAATGCTGGTGCGTGGCACCCTCAGGAAAAGCTGTGTTTACATGTATGCCACCATAGTGGTTCATTACAACCTTTCTCAGTATGTTTCCTGAATTCTCAAAAACCGATGCGGATGTGCCGTCTAGCGGTAAGGGTTTGTTGTTGGTGCGGGTACTACTTGAGCAGGCATTGCAAATAATCTTATGGGCAGCATTCCAGGTTTTATGATGTTATCTTTGTTCTGTGTTAACCATTAACTGTCAGACTGACCCAGCTGACTTGGTTTCTGCCCAATAAACAGACCATGTGCCCTGATGTGTTTAGAGGTCCTTGGGGAGGAAGCTACTGCAGGGACTCCCCTGTGCAGTCCATCAGACAGTGTAGCTGTGCTCAAGGTACACACACACACACCCCTGGCTTATCACACATCAATTATCTTTATTGTCGCTCTCATAAACAGGAACATTCATCTCCATGGTCTGCACTAATAATAGCTTGCATGTGCGTGAATTGTGTGCTTACAATCGTGATGTTTATAACACTAAAAGGATGTAAAGGATGAATGGTTGTGGTCAAAAGTTAACATCTGCTCTTCCTGTGTATGAATGTTATGGTAATTTGACCCTTTTAGGGATTTCTTTGAACAGTTCTTTTCCAGGTTGACGTTATTCTACATAATGACTTAAAAAAAACAAAAGAATTGGGTGCATAAGTCAGAATGTATTTATTTATTTAACTTCTGGTGCAAACCCAGCTACTTTGTTCTCTAAGCAGGCCTGAAATATGACAGAAACCACTCAGTTGAGAAAAGAGCTTCAAGCATTACTCCTAGTAGGATTTCAAATGGGGAAGAGTTAAAGTTCCCTTGAAGTTGCACCTCAGTTTGGAAGCCATCATTGAGCATTTAATCTAAATTTTAATCTAAATTTGTTGGTAACGTTGATGTTAGGGCTTTGGAAAGGCCATTCCAGAAAATTCAATTGTGTCGAAGCTTCGACATGAAGTTGAAGAATTTGGGGGTAGTCCTCCTTCATCATTATTCCAACCACTTTATGTAATTTACCTGTACCTCTAACACCAAAACAACCCCAGAGCATGATGCTACCACCACCATGCTTGACAGCTGGTATACAGTTCTTAGGTTTGAGAGCCTCCCCTTTACTCTTCAAATATTACCTTATTGTTGCCAAATAGTTTTTGGCAACAATAAGGCATTTGGCTTGCCAAGTTCAACTGCAAATTTCAGGTGTTGATGTATTCAGGTGAAGGTGTTGATTTTGGAGCAGGGGATTGTTTTCTCCTCCGTCCATAGAGATGCACAACTCACGTCATTGTGGACAGTGATGCTGGTGTTCCAGCTGTTTCCAGTTCATAGCAGGCTTTCTGGTTCCTGTGTTGGTCTTGAACATCCTAACCGATTTCCTCAAATCTGGGGATTTTTCCAGACCTCATTAAAGGGGACGCACTTTCAAATTGCATCTACTTGCTTAAAATCTGCAGATGTTTAGAAATAGCTCCACAAGACCTCCCCAAATTGTGTAAAGCTCTTAGATCTTGACTGAGTTCCTTGGACTTTCCTATTGTTCTGAGTACTGGTCAATCCAGTAAGTGCTGTCAAACAAATCCTTTTTACTACCAGCTGTAGTCAATCATGATCCCTAACAGGACCTTAACAGACCTTGGCCTTGTCAAGTTGAAAGACGTTTTTTAAACCCATTATTTATTATGCATTCTGTGCAATCATTCCACCCTGGAAAAGAAGAATTACCCAAAATCACCATGTCATTTATGGCCTTGATAAGTGTGAATTTTGGTTAAATTGTTTGTTTTGCCAGGTAAATTTAGACCTTTAATAAGAGTGGTCAGAGAAAGAAAGGTCAGCGAAAGAAGTGTTTATGCCCCTGCAGTTCAAACTGCTAATCATTCACTTGTTGTAATGGTTAATCATTCTGAGGAAATTTGTAAGCCTGAGTTTCACCTAGAGTGTACCTGCAAATTCAGCGTGCTAACACACCTGCATGAGAAATGATTCTGTCTGAAACATGAAGAAAAGGCAAGTTCTTGTGGTGCAATAAACACTTTTTGAAAACATATAGACATTTGTATACTGTTACTTTTACTTTTACTGTTGTCTCTGGTCCCACAGGTGCTTGCATAGCAAATAAACATTACATTGAACAGTTAGAAGAGACATTTGCTACCAGCGTTCCAAGTCAAATTGCAGCTTTCTTTGGAGAGCCTATTCAGGTACTATATTCTTTTTATCCATGGCTATGGCTGGATTTATTTTTGACTCCGTGTGATAGTAGTGGACAAACAACATTCATTTTACTAAATATATTTGTTATGCTACCACTCAGGGTTTTTTCTGCATGATTGCTTCTGTTTTTGTTATTTTTTTTGAATATGTTAGCAAAGGAATATAAGCGTGTTTGGTGTGCACAGGGCATGGGAGGAGCTGTACAGTACCCGAAAAACTATCTCAAGGAAGCTTACAAACTTGTAAGACAGAGAGGAGGAATCTGCATTGCTGATGAGGTCAGACACCACGAAGGTGTTATGTTTTTCTCAAACATGAAATAAAGCAAAAACCAAACAGTATTGCAAGGCTAAGCCAATGCAGTAATTATAAAAGCGAGCTAAACGCAATTCAATGGAATTTATTTTAGAAACTCTTGGTTTCTTTGAGTAAACTGTGGATAACTAATGTATTATGTAATTATATAATCCAATTGTGTATTATAATAATCTAATTATTAGTGAGCGATATATAGAATTTTAATATAAAAGGCATTTGCACATTACAGGTCTAGACTGGATTTGGCCGAACGGGAAGCCACTTTTGGGGTTTCCAAGGTCATGATGTCATTCCTGACATGGTTACAATGGCAAAGGGTATTGGCAATGGATTCCCAGTGGGAGCTGTTGTTACCACACCAGGTGAGATTACATTAAGATGCGCAAGTCCTAAATTCAATTAGCATGTATGGTAAATGGCCTGTATTTATATAGCGCTTTACTTAGTCCCTAAGGACCCCAAAGCGCTTTACACTACATACAGTCATCCACCCATTCACACACACATTCACACACAGGTGATGCCAAGCTACATTGTAGCCACAGCCGCCCTGGGGCGCACTGACAGAGGCGAGGCTGCCGGACACTGGCGCCACCGGGCCCTCTGACCACCACCAGTAGGCAACGGGTGAAGTGTCTTGCCCAAGGACACAACGGACCAAGACTGTCCAAGCCGGGGCTCAAACCGGCAACCTTCCGATTACAAGACGAACTCCCAACTCTTGAGCCACGATCGCTCTTAACCTCTTTTTTATGTATTTTTTTCGCTGCCCTAATTAAATTTGTTTATGTGATCCCAGCAATTTTCAATTTCAAATGCAAACACAGACTTTTTTTCCTCAGAACGTCATGCAAAATCCATTGACATAAAGCATAAACGATATAAGAGCAAACACTGACTCACGTGGTAATTACCAATACAGCGCTAGCCTTGAAAATGCATGTTTATTTCTGTGAGTGGGTGTGTAATAATAGGCTGCTGTGCGTTCATGGTAGAAACAGCTTTCACGTACTGGTCAACTTTTAGATGCACGATTTATGCTCTTAAAGACCCCACTGTCCAAAAATTAACATGAAACCCCTTGATACTTACACAAATCATTTGCAATGCATGTATTCTGAGACATTTGTATTCTGAGGCTGAAGTTTTGATTACAAGCAGCAGAGCGGAGGTGTGAGCTTGTTTATTCATGTGTGTGCGTGTGTGTTTTTTTCCAGAAATTGCTGCTTCCTTTGTGAAAGCCTCCCACTTCAACACATTCGGAGGAAATCCCTTGGCGTGTGCCGTTGCTTCATCAGTTCTCGATGTAAGAACCGATCTTCTTATTTCCATAGACGAGTTTGAGAAGTTCTTAATAAAACAGTGAGGCAAGTTTATAACTTGTCTTTTCGCCCAGTGAATGAAGATAGATTACATGTTTAGTTTTTTTTCCCTGCTACTACGCACACCTCTGTACGAGTGGGGAAGTATAGTGATTTATACATCTTTTTTTATTTGTCTCTACCTTTGCTAACAAAGCAGATAAAGCTTATCACACAACACAGTGAACCAGATAAAAGCTGCAGCACATTATACATCATAAAATATACTGCTGAGTACCATTTTATATGCAGTGCCATTTTTACTTTTAAGAAACACAATGTTTGCTTCGGCAGTGGAGAGTTGACGAGGGGACTAACAACTAAAGAAAATATTAATCTGGTAGTACAAATATATTTTTGAGCAACTTGGAAGTAGCTTAAAAACATTTATGTTTGCAAACTGATTTGAGTGGTTAACATTTTTCTTTGTACAAATCTACCAATCATATATTTTCCAGATGGGACTGCATAGTGGATCAAAATTTGATCCACTTTTCTGTGTTTACAATTCCATCAGTTTTGACAACACCACTGATTCAAATGCAGCCCCAAACCATTACAGAGCCTCCACCGTGCTTTACAGATGACTGTAGACTCTCTGTTACGCACTGTTTTATCTCCTTCATACATAGTGACAATAATTAGACCCAAAAATTTCCCATTTGGATTCATCGCAGACAGCTACCCGTCCACTGGGACCATTTCTGATGATGCTTTGGTAAACAGCAGATGATGAACTGAAAGGCCATATCCATCTCCCAGGTTTTGTCAGATACTGTTCATCATATTTTTTAGGCCAGCCACTTTTTCTTTTGTCCTTCACTTCTTCAGGTTCCTCATTTTTGGTGAATACACTGCACACCTTACTGAGATATGCCAAGGTTTAACCTAATAGCTATTTAGAACCGTACAGTTTCTCCAGATTTGTCATGATGCAAATCTGCTTCAGCACATCCCAAAGGTTCTTTAATGAGCTGAGGACTGTGGAGGCCATTTGAGTACAGTGAACTCATTGTCATGTTAAAGAAACCAGCTTTAGGGGATCTGAGCTTTACGACACAGAGTGTTGTCCTATCCAACAGACGATGGGCAAGCTGTGGTCCTACTGTCAGTAAAAATTGTGGGGCTTGTTGCTTTTCTGAAGTGGTTTAATAGCTGGCCATTTCCCCTCCTTATTAAAAGTATTTGACTATATGATTAAAGATGCCAAAGACTCCAGATCACATTTCTCCAGGTGTAAGCTGATTAAAAAGCAAAAAAGGGGCAATTTTTCCAAACCTTGAGAAGGAATCCTTTCACATTTTCCACCACGTAGCTGTAGCATGATGTAGAGCGTGGCATGGCCACAGATTTGGGGGTTTTTCAGTGTATTTGTTTTTGAAAATAAACAACAAGCACTGACTGAAAAAATTTTTTTCCTAACATGCAAAACTGAACTGAATGTTGTTACCTTGTTAAGTTCAAATGATTGTACTGCATTATTTTCCTTTTTAGCAACTCGAATGGGGAAAAAAATGAAGTAGAACAAAATGCTGCACATTTTATGTGGAATTAATTTCTTTTCAGACTATCAGAGAGGATAGCACACAGCACAACAGTCTTCATGTGGGCACCTATCTGATGACGCAAATGGCTGAACTCAGAGACAAATATGAGATTATCGGTGATGTCTGTGGAAAAGGCCTCCAGATCGGCGTGGAAATGGTTAAAGACAAGGTAGTGCGTTCTAAACAAGTGACTCATCTCTCGTACACCATTAGGAGTAGCAGCAGCTGTCATCTGCGCTTAAATAGGTGAGCAGAGCAAATTCAGTTTGTTTTTAAAAATACTACAGTGGACCAGCAGCAGCTGTTAGCAGAGAAGATTAGCCAAACTATTCCTTCCCAAAACCCACACTGAATAAAAATCAGTCTGACTCTTCAGTTTACATATTTGGTTATGTCCAAAGGCTGATTTAACATTTCTGTCATGTTGCCTGTAAGTAAAAACTCTAAAGTCCAAAAACGTTGGGATACTGTGTAAAAACAGAAAGACTGAAAGACAGAAAAGACGCACATTTTATTCAAAATGAAACGCATCAAATGCTTAAACATTTTACTACTACCTCAAATAAATCTTATCTTACTTTGATTTTGATGGCAGCAGCGGTTCTCAGAAAGTTGGTATGTGGTGGTTGTGGGAACGAAAGGCTGGAAAAGTAACTGTTTCTGTGAACTACTGGGAATAAAATAATAACAATACTGTTTTTAACTTACATTTTACATTTTCTGAATGAGGTTTGTGCACGCTGATCCTATTCATATGCACCACCTTTCGTGATGTATTGTTAAACAGGAGGAAATGTGGAAGTCAAAAATGCCATTTAATACTTTAACTAAGCTTTCTGACTGAGGAGACATTAACATATTAGACCACAGAAGACATGACGCTTGCTTTAAGGTGCTATAGAAGTAGATGAGTAATATTAGTAATACTAGTTAGCACATCCTTGTGTCCTTTCATATCTTCTTTTTGAACCACAGGGCAGCAGAGAGCCGCTGCCTCCTGAAGCAATGAGTGAGATCCTTGAGGACATCAAGGACATGGGAGTCCTGATAGGCAAAGGAGGAGTGTACGGACAGGTAGGCGGAGTCACCATGAGCTGACCTATCCTTGTGTCAGTTTACAGTCATGTGGTGGAAAAAGAAAAAAAGTTTACATGACTCCATGCGAAAAACAAAATCACCCTTACCGCTACTAATCAGATTCACTTTATTTACTGATCAGTGTTAAGTGTAAACTTGTCTATAAAAGCAGAGGATTCGTCAGGCTGGCGTGGAACACAACAACAAGAGCAATACTCGACGACACTACAAAGAAACCAAAGTTACAGACGGTGCAGGCTTCAGTCAGCATGTTGAAGTTCATGGCAGTACAATTACAAAAAGCCTGTAGGGTTGCCAGGAGAAAGAACATGACAGCACCGATTAGGTTTGCAGCGATGCATCTAAAAATCACAAGGCATCTCCTTGGGAGATTTCGCCAAAGTGGAGGCGTTTGGCCACAATACACAGCATACAAGTACAAACCAATCTAACCAACTGTCCAGCACAGTGGTGGAGGGGTGATGATTTGAGCTCGTTTTCCAGCCACAGGACCGTCTCGCAGTCACCAAGTCGCCCTTGAACTCATCTGTATACCAGACCAGAGCATTTCAGAGTCAAATGTGAGGTCATCTGTCTGGAAGCTAAAGCCTGGCCCAAATTGGCTTATGATACTCAAGGTGCTGAAAACACACAGTCAAAGTCAAGGTCACAACCTCACTAAAACACTGATGAGAACTTGAGCTGTACAAACCACAATGAACTGAAAAAGGTAATGACGAGTGGGTCAAAATCCCTCCACAACTATGTGAGAGTCATCAGAGAGTTATTGCTGAAAAGGTTGTTTTACAAGAAACAGAATCATGGGGTGTTCTTAGTTTAAGAACCCAATACAGAGTTAGGAAATATGAGTGTAAAAATCAGCTATAAAACTATAAATATGGGACAAAAAATAACTAAATCATGATGGAGAATCTCTATTTTGCCCTTGAGGAAGTTCACTCATCTAAACTCGTCAAACCAGCACAAGTCTTTGTTCTTCAAGAAGTGATTTGACTTACTAGACTTCACAAAAGAATGGTGGTGCACCAGCTTCTGCTTTTCTGTGCCCCGCCCTTCAGAATGTGCTTTAAAGCAGTTATTAGCAAGGATTTTTCGGTCAAACTTAGGTTTGTTTTCTTTAAAAAATTCAACAAGCGAAAGATTCAAGGCTAAAACTTTGAACAGTCTATGCGACGGCACACTCAGTCTTGAACAGGACTATCAAAAAACATGGTGTTACAATCTCCTTGCCTGCAAACTCTGAGACATACATTACAACAAAAAGTCTCTGCGGTGCAAACCACAGACTGAGCTTCCAAAAACTTTGCTGTGTATCAAAGGAAATTATTTAACTTTTTGTAATTAACCATTTACAATGACCCTACACATTTTAAAATGAATAGGAGGGAAAAAAATCGCATCAGCGTCTCCAAGGCTAAAAAACCAAATGCACTACACTAATCTCCGGGTTGAAGCCAAAAATATAACGTCTAAGCTAACGGCTGGCCTCAAAACAGCAATAACAGAGAAACCCAATAAGCTTCCACTAATGAACAAAACACTTTACAAAACAAGTCCCACAAGTTTGCCACTCCTAACCTCCAAGAGCACTTAAAAAACAAACAAAACAGCAAAACAGCACTAACTCAGCATGCACACCCTTCTCAGAATCCAGTGGCTGAACAGCATCTTTCTGCTGGAGGTAAATCTGAAGTTCCACAAATGATCTGAATGCCTTCATCTGTGGCAATCAGGTGTGAGAAACCTGAGAGAGAAAGGGAGGGAGAGCACAGCTGTCTTCCAGAAAGAGGCCAAAAGATCAGTGAATGTAGATTGTAAGTCATTGTATTCTCTTATTTATTCATTTATTTGACAGCATCCCAACCTTTTTGGAAGTTTTTTGGTGGTCTAACCTAATTACTGTGCTTGACAGCAAGTCTCTTATTCACTTTCTTATAAATTGAAGCTTTTAAAAAAATAATAAAAATGTTAATAGTAATATTAATAGCAGAAAAAGAGTACCCAGTTCATCAAAAACTTTATTTCACCTCCATCTCTGATCAAATGTCATTGTTGAAGAGAAAGTTTTATTTCATACAGCACGTCCCCGGCAGAGTGCTTTGACTGGCTGCGGAAAATACTGTAGGCGTTTTATGTTACTCATTATGAAATATTACACTGGATGAAAAACATTATATGGTGCACATTTTTTGAAAACTCCATTCAGTCGGGAATCAAAATGTCACTGCCACAATTGCTAACCTTGTATTGTTCTAGGGAAAAAAGCCAGAGCGTAACTTTCTAGATTTATTCGCAGATCAACAATGAATCAATGTGAAAGCCTCTTTACAATTTGTTTCGATGCTTAAAGCTTTTCAACTGCCTTGTCCTTGAGTTTAAAATGCATCCTTTTCTGTAAAAGTAATTTTTTCTTTTCAATTAATGCACAGCTATTCATGCGTGATACAGTGAAGATAACAGGGACCTCATTTTAAACTTTTTCACCTATTACAAGCGATTGTTCAACAGAAAGAGGGGGGGGGGTCTCGATTTAAAAGCAAATGCCTTTCCCGGCTTAGATATTAATTTATGCGCCTGCTCTGCCTTCAGGATAAGAAAAGAAAAAGATTATTTCGCTCCATGAGCTCCACTCTCACCTTCTTTTTTCCTTTCTCTCACCACTTTAGACCTTCCGCATACAACCCCCCATGTGCATCACGAGGGAGGATGTAGATTTCTTCCTGGCGGTGTTTAATAAAGCAATCTCGGGCTACACGGACAGAAAATGAGCAGGTCAATGCCGAGGAGTGAACTGGAATGGAAAACCATTCAGCAAGGGACTTCTACTTTAAAAAAAAAACAATTAAAAATGTATTGTCTGAATGTTTCAAATTATATAAAAATGGCTCCACTGAAATCAGTCTTTTATAGTCACTGATTTTTACTGTTTCTCTAACTTCGATGTCATTTTGCTCACTTCAGATTGAATGAATAAACATTTTTGTGATCAGCCTGTAAAAATATTTGAGATGAACCGACCACAGAATTACAGTTTCATTTTGTTTTTGTCTTCCCGATAAAACTGCAAACATACGATGAAATGAATGCATGATTTTTATTATTATTTTTAGACACATCCAACAAGCTGTTCGCTGTTACACACGATTCCCAGAGGCATTAATGGAAGCAAGAAGCACTCCGAGAGTGCAAACCTCCACCATGAGCAGTATTTACTTATAAGAGAATAGTGTTGTATTTCATGTATATACTCATTTCATTATCTAAAACATACTGTAAGAAGTTTATATGGCAGTAAAAATCAGATACGGGCAACATGACAGATGTTTACATTGATTACAGAGACATTATGTAGCAGTAGGTCATGGATAATAGGTATTACCTCATTCCTTTTTCTCTTTCTGATGCTTTCTTTAAAGATCTAACACCTTTTAGGGTCAGCTTGAACGAAAGGAAGATGTGGGATTGTGAAATGTTAAAGTGAGGTCAGAGGTCAAATGTGACATGATGTTTGGTTGGAGCCTATAATGTGATATTTATGATCCCCATGTGCCAGAATCGTTTCTGAAATGGTGCCGATAGAAACAGAAGCAGTTTCATTTGTAGCATAGTTTTAACGGTTAAAACAAAATATTTTTAAATGTTTGACCCTGAAGAAGAGGCAAGAGGTCCAATGTAACATATTTAGAATCCCCATATATCATTGCCCGATCACTGATCAGGCCTAAGATTCTGACCGCTGAGACGTGAAGTCGATAACACCGATTATCTCCTCATTGTGGCACCTGTTTGCAGATGAGCTATACCAGGGAGCAGATGAACATTTTGTCCTCAAAGATGAAGCATGAACAATGGGCAAGTATCAAGATTTGAGCAGGTTTGACAGGGGCCAAATTGTGATGGCGACTGGGTCAGACCATTTCTGCACTGATCAGTATTGATCAAAAGTGGTCCAAGGTAGAAACAGTGATGAACCAATGACAGGGTCACAGGTGGCCCAGCTCACTGATGCATGCAGGGAACAAAGATTCCACAGATGGGTTAACATAGCACAAACTGCCAAAAAAGTTCATGTTGGTTCTGACAGATACAAGTGCATCATAGTTTGCTGTGTATGGGACTGCATATGTGCAGACTGGTCATGTGCCCATCTGACCTCTGTCCATCATCAAAAGCACCAACAATGGACACAGAAACATAAGAACTGGACCATGGAGCGATGGAGGTAGTGGCCTGAACTGATGATCTTCTACATCATGGATCATGGGCGATCGTGGCTCAAGAGTTTGGAGTTTGCCTTGTAATCGGAAGGTTGCCAGTTCGAGCCCTAGTCGTTGTGTCCTTGGGCAAGACACTTCACCCGTTGCCTACCGGTGGTGGTCAGAGGGCCTGGTGGCGCCAGTGTCCGGCAGCCTCGCCTCTGTCAGTGCGCCCCAGGGTGGCTGTGGCTACAATGTAGCTTACCATCACCAGTGTGTGTGAATGGGTGCATGACTGGATGTGTAAAGTGCTTTGGGGTCCTTAGGGACTAGTAAAAGCGCTATACAAATACAGGCCATTTACCACCACATGTATGACCAGGTATGTGCATTAGCATCATCATCATCATTTTGCCCTTGAAGGAGGATTTAGAGGTCAAATGCACCATGATATTTTAAATGGTGTATATGGTATTTTCTGTGTTTAACATTTATAAGACTCATTATTTTTGAGTTAGAAGGCTTTTTGTCAAAAGTTAGCCTTGAAGACCTTGGTGGATGTAAGACAAATTTTAACAGACACACTAAAAAAAACATAACCACCTTGGTCGAGGTAATGATTTCAGGGTGGTATACCAATCTGAAGCATCATCTTTATTAGTAATACCACTATAGACAAACAAGGACAGAGGTTTCCTGGAGATGTACAGATTTAATATCGGAGATAGAAGTATCACATACACATCAAAAACTCTTTCTCTCAACTGGTTTCAGTATGAAGACTGTCATAAGTTATGAAAGGCTGCTCGGAAAGTTTTATTCATTCCATTCTGGACGATTCACTTTTTGACACAACTGTATTACTGAACATTATAGTGTAATTAAAAAAACAAAAAACAAAGCTACGAGTCAGCCAGTGCTGTCCACTTTAGACCCCTTTAGAGGTTTGTTTGTTTTGTTTTTTAAGCCTTTAAGTGTCCCTGCTGAGTGAAGCTCTTTCAAGTTCAAAAGTCCAGGTCAGGATGTGTTATCTGTTCTTCTTCTTGTCTTTCTTGCTCTTGCTCATGGAGCTCTGAGGAGTATTTCCGGAGAGGGCTGTAGCGTGGCCGCTGGACTTCAGATGGTCAAACAGCTTGTTTCTTGTGGAGAACTCGTTATTGCAAGTGACACAACGGAGGTTCACTTCCTTCTGGAGGTGGAAATGGAGATAAGTGATGAAAGTGACGATTGTTTTCTAACAACAAGTGCTGCATTTGAACTAATGAGACAGGGTGAAGCATGTCTCGCCACAGTTCTCACATAATAATTAGGATTTAATTAACAATATTCTACAAAAGTCTTGAGCCACATTTTATTTCTTTAAATTAGGAAATAATGCAAACATACAAGGAAATAAAGCATATAAGTAAAAAAGTCTTCAGTGAAGAGTAGCTGAATCAACTCAAGGTTAAGATGCATCAGATCATCTCTTTGCTGAATTTTTAAAATAGGCGATACGGTGCTACTACTTTGATCCTCCACTAGTCCTGTTTCCTAAAAAGCTTTTAAGAACACAGTCCAATCCGTGCTGAGATATGAGATATTTCCAGCTCTTTGGGGAATCACTTTGTTTCCAAAAATCCAGGGGTCTTTTTGCCTGTCAAGCTGTCATCTGTTTTTTTGTAGATTGCAACATCTTTAGACACTGTTGCAAAAGTGCCTAAGGACGCCGTTTAAAATAGATTCTTTGCCAATTTATCTCTGCAGTGTCAATCCAACACTGCTTTATTGCGTGAGTTAGGTGCATACTTTCTTTTTTTGTTGGAATGATTCATATTTTTCTAGAACATTAACAAACAAAAAAAATGTCTGAAGGTTCAGGTTCAAGGACTGGACTGAAAATGAGTGAAAAAATGTCTAAAGAAAAACTCTGAAAGACCTTCAGAAAATCTGTCTCCTTGAAAGCAAAGTATAAAGAAATGTGGGGCGGCTCAAGACTTTTACACAGTACAAGAAATATTTTTAAATAAGCATCTGAATTCTGGATTTTACAAACCTCAGGAAACTGTTCTCCTGTGTGCTGCTTGACGTTCTTTGGTTTGTCTTTTCCTCCTCCCTTCTTTCCCTTCGTCTTCCCAGTGCTGCAGAGGTAACATTCACATCAAGGACACATTTAAAAAAATAATAAAAAATGTTATTACGCTGCACAATTTCACCTAGGAATTGGTTGGTTCCCTCCTCTATCGCACCAAGTTGAGCCCCACACATCCTCAATACAAATGACAGAGATTATTATTATATTATTTTTTTCTCTCCATTTCTTTTCGCCCATTTCTTTAACCCAGAATGAAAGAACAAACACTAACTGTCACATTGCTACAACATGCACATTATTGTAAAGGAAAGTACTCTTGAAGGAACACAACTCAATTCATTGTTCTGTTCATTTTGTCCATCATTTGGAAAGATTTTGGGCCATGGTGACATGCTGTCAGGGCTGGGCTATATCATACCGTTCACGGTAATACCGGTAATGTTGGGCAACGATAGGAAAATGAAACCTATCGTGCCTTTGTTTACATACGCGCATGGCGGAAAAAGTATGACGGCGGCGACGCAGAATGAGAACAGCGAAAGTGGATCGTTGAATGAAACGGATGAACCAGAAGTGGTTTGTAAAAATGCTCCAGCTTCAGTGGTGTGGAACTGGTTTGGCTTTCGTCCGTCAGATACACAACAAAGCACTATTTTTGGTAGCGCATGCTAGCGGGCCGTCGCTATTACCGTGTTTTTTGGAAAATACGGCACACTTAAAATCAATCCTTTGATTTTTCTGACAATCGACAGTGCCCCTTATAATCCCGTGTGCCTTATGTATGAATTCTGGTTGTGTTTACTGACCTCGAAACGATTTTATGTCGTACACGGCGCTCGAAAATCTGTCAAATGTTTCAGTACGACTTTGCTAAGCTACGAAGCCGCACCGCTTGATGGATTGTTGTAGCATTACGGCAGGCACCTCGCGGAGTGATACGTACTGTGCTTCAACATAATGTTACCGTATTGTGTGTGTATAACCCCTTTTTAAGTTTTGTGGATATTATACATGGTTATGCTGAGGATATGTCGGCCAATTTCCACTGGAAATGCCTTTTGGTTAAACTGTCAGCAAGGAATTTTGCACATAAAAAATACAGCTGCTTGTTTAAGTGAAAATACGTTGATGGGGTTTTTTTTGCACTAATAAAGTTGAGGAGTTGTAAAGTATTTTGTCTAGTGTCAATTATACCGTCAGTTATATCGTTATCACAAATTTTCAAATGTATATCGTGATAAATATTTTGGGTCATATCGCCCTGCTCTACACATGCTGTCCCCTCACTTTTAATAGACTTAACAGGTACTCGTGGCAGCTTTCAAACTAACTCAGAGTTCCTTGCTTCGTTAACTATTACACCACCTATCTCACTCACTCAAACACACACATATCAAATAAAGTGCTCAGGATAAAGTTTAAGGACAGTCTTGTAAGTATAAAAGCACTACAGGAATCTGACTCAAGAACCTCGGGAACAGGAACAACACCGCAGAGTTAACGAGCCATTTAGAAACAATCTGCAGTTAATCAAAAATTTGACATAAACATTAACAAGAGATTGTGCATGTAAGACTGAGAGCTCATATATTCAGCCATGTAGATATATATATATATATGTGTTAAACGGGTATTAATTTTACACCCTGCCAGGCCAAAAAAGTGAGAGCCTTACTCTGGGTGATTACTGCAGTGATTAATGTTTCGGCTGGTAGCAGGTCATTTAACAGCTTTAGCAGCTTCTTAATTCTTGCTGGACCAAGTTGTTCAAGATCCCCATGTTTTATGATCTGGCCGTTGCTGTGGCGATGGCTTGGGGAAATAAGGGAGCGGCCAAGAAGTAAAAACAACTCAGAAGATTGTTGAAACAACTAAAATTGAATTAAGAGCTGCCTGTGCGATATCAAAACCTGGAAGGGTAGTGCTGAAAGTGAGAGCATTTTCACTCCTACAATACGAAGTTTACTCAAGGGACAGGGACTGAACAGCTGTGTAACCTTAAGAAAACCATTTATCAGTGAGGCTAAAGGACACAAAAGGCTTCAGTTTGCCAGGGAGGATTAACACTGGACTCAATGGAAAAAAGTCATGTGGTCCAAGTCTAGATTTACCCTTTGTCAGATTGATTGGTGCATTAGAGTAAGGGGGCTACATTTAAGTAAGGGGGCTATATTTGTTCTTATGCATTATGTGTTAATTAGCGTGTGGTTTTGCCAGCAGATCAAAAAAAAAATAATTTCTGAGAATTTTTTTCCACTCTTTGTTGTCGTCAGTTGTTTTTCTGGGACAAAAACAAAACAAGTAGCCGGACATGCACAGGAGGAATGAGTAGTTGTTGGCTGTGTTGACTCAACGTGTAGTTCCAAGGTCACATCATCTAACTACGTCAGGTTAAGGGTGCAGATTTCCCACTGGAGCATAAACCCCCAGAGGCGGATGAAGGGATGCACCCATCATGCCTAGCGTCTTGCTTCAGTTGGTCGGGTCTAGCTTCAGCAGTGAGGTCAGCTGACTACCTTAATAAACTGAATGACCACATTTTTTCCCACCATTACATTTTTCCCTTCCCTGATGGCACAGCTATACTACAAGATGGGAACGCCAGGATTAATCTGGCACATGAAACATGTCCAGATCTCACAGAGAATCTTTGGGATGTGCTAGAACCGACTTTACGCAGCAATCCGAATCTCCCGTTAATACAAGCTTTTGGTGAAAAAAAATACACAAACAACAAAAATGAACAGCCATGCAGTGTATACCATCTTAGCTCAGGTTCTCAGCATGCTTCAACTTCAGCAAGACAGAAAAAAGAGAGAGACAGAGAGAGACAGAGAGAGAGAAAACAACAAAACAAAAGCAACACTTGACCAGAAGACAGACCTAGAGACAGATAAGAAACCGAACTGACCTCTTGACCTCTGTGGGAGGTAGATCATCCTGCTTCTCAGGCTCCGTGGGGTCTGCTGCTGACTTCTTGGAGGCATCTTCCTCACAGGTGGTCAGTGCTGGTTCTTCCTCGTCTTCCTCCCCTGGAGCACTTAGCTAGGGCATTGGAAAGAGAGGGCAGAAGTCTTCAGAAAGATTCAATTCACAAAACCAGGCACGAACAACACAAGCGATGATGGTGATGATGGTACGCACTGGGGCCGCTTTCTGCTGTTTTCTTTTCCGCTTCTGTTTTTTGGACAGCCTACAGGAGTAGAAAGAGAGCTCAATAAAAACAACTCAACCTTTTTAATACGATGCATCACCAAGAAGTTAAACAATTAGTATGCTATTAAATGGACTAAATGGGAGCCAAGCGCCACTAAATGGATTGTTTTCACTTATTTGTGCATTCATTACCTCTCCTTTGCATTTTCTCCACACTGCCTGATTTTTACATTTCCTAATGGATTTCTGATTTCTGATTACATTATGCTTGCCAATCAGGGTAGCAGAACAGTAAAAATCAAGTTTTGAGAAGGAAAAAAGACATAAAAAAAAATACAAAATTAAATATATACTTTTGCCTTGGCTTTTCCTCTTCCTCCTCTTCCCCCTCATTTTCATTCTCACTTCCCTCCAGATGCAAACCAAGTGCATCGTCTTCCTCCTCCAGCTGTTGCCTTAGCAAAGCCACCATCTCCCGATGCTTTTTAGACTTCTCGTGGTTTTTCATGCTGTGAAGAGGTGGTGAAGAAAGGGGGAGAAAAAAAAAAAAAAAGCGTGATGCACACAGATAATAACAGTGATGACGCTGTTCAAACTCATCTGAGATATATATAAAACAAAGAAAAGTTGCAACCTTTTTGAGTGCAGTGCTGAAAAGGTAACGTTTCACACTCACGCTTTATCTGACTTGAAGGATTTGTCGCACGCTGGGCAGTACAGATCATCGTAATCGTCAATCGTCAGCTCGTCTCCATCCGGCTGCTCGGCCTCTGTGATTCAACATTTACATGCATTTAGTGTAGAGAGACAGCCAGCAAACAGGAGGCTTTACTGTACACAAGCTTTAAATCCTTAAAGTTGGATTAATGCTGCATTCCTTTTACCCTGAAAGTCGAGGAACCAGAGCTGACCATGTTCCAGTTATAGCCCTAGTCATAGCCAGAAAAACAGGCGGAGTTTTTTCTGTTTGATTTTATTTTATTTTAAACCATTCTCCTATCAAAGTAGACCCTCTCAGTCATCACTGACAGCAGCTTTCTTCTGTTTTCCTTCATTAAAAAAAAAGGCGCTGCAGCTCGTTCATGGAAAGAACATAGTTGGTTCTCTTTATGGCTCGTTTAGGGAGTCACAAATCACAACAGCACAGTACAGATTAAAATTCTACACTTGCTGCTGCCATCCTGGATTATAAAAAAGTCAGGGATTTTTGAGTGGGAACTTGGGATTTCGGACTTCCCATTTAATATGAACCACAGCATTAATGTTGATATAATATCAGCACCAATTGTATTTATGTAGCACATTTATTTTAACTCACTATGCTTAAGACAAAAATCTAAAAACATACAAACCTGCACGAGTTTAAGATGAAAACACAAAAAGTAAAATACAAAACACACACACACACAGTGTGTAAGTTATTAACAGCAAGCCTGTGATAACAAAAGTGGTTCCGTCTGTTTCTGAGTGTATGCACAGATTTGATTGACCTCAGGTTTGCAGGCAGCTTATTCCAAAGAACAGGACAGGACTCAGACAGTGTTCAGTTCCTGCTGTTCATGCCAGAAAACTGAGGAAAGTTGTGACTGGATATGCTTTTTATCAGAGATTTTATAAAAGGAGGAGATCTAGCACACAAAGGCTCCTGAACTTGATCCTACATGGGATGGTGGTTGTCCCACTTTGCTCACAGACAGCCAATCGGCCACTGAATCAGCTGCCTGTGGTGGCAAAAAGTATTCAATGCATCAACAGTTTTCTAAGTAAATACATTTCTAAAGGTGCTATTGACATGAAGTTTTCACCATATGTTAGTAACAACCCATCCAATTCACACATGCAAATAATTGGAGGTTTGATTCAAGTTTTTTGTAATAATGAGAAAAGACACAGGGAAGAAAGGAAGGAGCAATAAGGTGTGGAAAGTCATAACAGCAGCTGAAATCTATCAGCAATTACAAAGCAATCTTGCCACTTAGTGCAAATTATTATCAGCTGTTCAGTCCCAACTGATGGCTTATAAAAAAGATGTCTCATTACCAAGGTAATGAAACAAGAAACATCTCATGATGGGTAAAACCAATGAGCTCTCGCAAAACATACTGATAGCAGTACGTTTTGAAGGTTCCAGTGGGCACTGTTGGGGTTATAATCCAGAGGTGGAAAGAACACAATGTCATCATGAACCGACCATGGACAGATGTTCCCCGCAAGATGGAGCAGGCTTAGAAGAGTTGTCCAAGAGCCAAGCGCCACAAATACTGGGAGAGTACAGTCTGGTCAGATGAGACCAACATTGAACCCTTTGGATGCCATAACACACCATGTTTGGAAGTCAAAAGGCCCTGCATATCACCCCAAAAACACCATACCAACAGTGTAGTTTGGAGGTGGGAACATCACAGTGTGGAGCTGTTTTTCAGCATGTGGCACTGGAACGCTTCATCTAATTGAAGGACAGATGAATGAAAAAATGTACCGGGACATTCTTGATAATAATCTGCTGCCATCTAGCAGGATGATGAAGATGAAACGAGGGTGGACGTTTCAGCGAGACAATAATCCCAAACACACAGCCAAGGAGACTCAACTGGTTTCAGAGAAAGAAAATAAAGCGGCTAGAATGGCCCAGCCAACCACCTGACCTGAATCCAATTTAAAAATCTATGGAAAGAGCTAAAGCTCAGAATTTATAGACGGGGCTCACGGAGATTTTAAAGATGTTTGTGTGGAAGAATGGGCCAAAGTCAATACATGCGACTAGTTTCTCCATGCAGGAGGCATCTTGAAGGCTGCTAATATTCAGATGCTTGTCATATGCTCAACTATTGGAATATCTGTTCAGGACTCGACAGTAAACGATCAAAGCCAGCAATGAGCACAACCGAAAAACTCACAATTGGCAATTTAAAAATCTGATATTCTGATATAACAGTCGATTTTTTTTCCTGTCAGCCACACCAAACATCTGTTATGAGTAATTATTTATTTACTCTTTTATGCTCTACTGGGCTCGGGTCAACTGATTCTTGTGTTTGTGGCATTCCAATTGCGTGCCTAAAAACAGGGAAGTTGCAGAGTGGCCTCTAGTGGACAAACTGTGCAATATCAACACAATCATAACATGGTTAATATCTAATATCAGCTGATAATATCGGCCTGCCAATAAATTGGTTGGGCTCAACTGAACATGCAACAGCTGCATGCAGACACCAATAAAAATGAACACATCACAGCCATTAATCATAAATCAGAAACAAACAAGACACAGTTTAAGGCTACGGCTGCTGCGACTGAGTCACCCCGAGTCGGCACTCAGACGATCAGCCTTGCCGGCATTTGGTGAACTCGCTACTTCCGTTTTATGCAGCCGCAGCGGAAGGTGCACCGACTCCCGCTGAATTCACCACCAGCTGCGCCGCTGTTTCAATGCACGATTAGCCTTTCTTCAGGGTCGGCCGTGATACAAACATTATTCCAAGCGATACAATGTCGTCAGATAATGCAAAGGTCCTCATAAAAAATTCGCTCTATGACCTTTCGAGGCCATGCGCTGATCTACAGCCCAGCCTTGGATTTCTCTAACTCATAAAAAAAAAAAAAGATGTATTGCATGTCACTGAACTGCACTAACTTTAATGACATTGGCTACAGTAACTGTTTACATTCCTACAATTATTTACTTTTTGATACAAGCAGCTTTGAGAAGACCATTCATTATTGTACTACTTGCCATATATCATTTAAAATATAAAAAACATAAAGCAAACAAGGAAATGCTTCCAGTATGTTGCAAAATCCGAGACTGTTTTCTCAGACATGGACTCGATATATGCTCGTGTCTCAGATGTAAAAAAAACCAACAACAACAATAATAAAAAAACTTCTTTTTTTCAGTATCTGCATCCAGCATCAGTTCATCCAACACTGCATTTACTGAAAACTTTACGCCCACACGACCAACACAGCTTTTTCCCTGCAGACTGCGCCTCAACCTTCATAGTTAAGGTAGCTGTGTTACATCACTTAGAACTCCTAGTCAAGTGCAGTTATGGAAGTAGCATGTCCAGTTCATCTGTATATGGATGTGTCCGTCTCTGATGTGCTGTTGAAGGTTGGAAAGTTAGAAAGCCTATAAACAGATGGGATAAATCCAGGTTTTAATTGGTCTACTGTTTACCAGTAAATGTGTCATCACTGTTTACATATTTGAGGGACCGCATGTTGTGTAGCTATGGAGCTGACCTTCTGAGGGCCCCTTTATAGCTGCCGTTCGGCACAACAAAGTTGATGTCAAATTGACGTCATGTCTGCTGTCGCAAGCCGCAGTTTCTGCCGGTCGTGAACCTCTCGATTTTTGAAACCTAGCGTGTTGCGCCCTTGCCGCTGAGTTGCAGGCATGAGTGCGTGATTGTGTCGGTTTGTAATGATTTATCAGTGCAGAAGGTCAGAGACTGACACATTATACAGAAGTTGCTATAGTTCTAAAAGATCAGACTTAACTGCTCCCACACCAGAGCTGACACGAAGGTGTTGTCTGAGTAACGACACCGTTCAGCAGAATACTGCAGCGATGAGCATTAATACTTGTTGCTGTGTGGTGACGTTACCGACGGCGTATGACATATAATGGGGACACAAGTGTGACATGAGAGAAGGTAACCCTTACCTCCGCCCTCTTCGCTGTTCTTCTCCAGCTCCTCTTCCTCACTTTCAGATGCATCTCCAAACTCTTTTCCGTACTGAGCTTCTATCTGCTGCAGCTCCTTCTCGAGTTCAGACATGGCCGCCCAGCTCTGCTCCTTATACTCCTCTGCCAGCCTTGGATGGACATACAGAGCAGTGTCAGGAAGAAATTTTAAAAACAAAAACTCAGATCTGTCCCCAGCTATTCATCTTTTACTCACTTGGCCTGTTTGAGCTTCTGCTGCCGTCTCAGCTCCTCCACTTTCTTAATCTTCTCGGCATTCTGCTCCTCCACCAGTTTCCTGTGGGCCTGCACGCGGCGGTCGCGCTTACGCACAAAGGCCACCAGCTGTCGCACCAGATCGTTGCGCTCCTTTCGAGCTTTTTCTCGAGTCTTTTTGTTCTCCTTCTCCATGGCCCTCTTCTCCCAGCGGTTGGAGGCCTGCCTCGTATCGTACTCCTCCTTCCAAGCAAAGTTTTTGCGAGTGCAGAAGCTTTGCCAGTAGCCATAAAACACATGCACTACCTGTAATGCAAACACAGAGAAAGCAAGACTTGAAGAGCAGAACACAGATCTTTGTTTGTTTTACGCACGGGAAGTAGCAGCTAAAGGAAAACAAAAAAACTGCTTTCTGTTTGAAACAGCTGCTGACGTGTGTTTTAAAGCCTTACGGTATCGTAATCACTCTGCGAGTCCCCGAAGGGAGGAAACTCCTCTTCCTCTTCCTCATCTTCCACCTTGCTGTGTTCCATCTCCTCCTTAACAATGGACTCAAAAAGATTCCTGTAAACGGTGTAAAAGCCCTAGGGAGAAAGGAAACAGTAAAAGAAAAAATCTGAGAGACACAAAGAATTTTCTTTCCCACAGTCCCTCAGGGCAGCGCTGCCAGAACGATCAGCGAATGCTGATGCAGTAGCTGGGTTCAGGGTCAAGGCAGGGGCATGCTGTGTAGGCTGAGATGGTACAGCAATATACTTCAGAGTCTACCCCGACCCTCTAGTTCATTGTCATAGCACAAATATTCCACTAGGGGTCAGTCTCGCTCATCAGGCACCTTCAACAGCCATTAATGAGCGGTCCACTGAAGCACAATGAAGATGGGAAGATAAGGGATCTCATATAAATCTCCATCATTAAAATTTACAGCTGTGATCTTTGATTCTAACAAACGACAATCAGCTGATACCATGATCGACCAAAAAACGAATTTGTAGTCTTCAAGTAGGATCTACTTTGATAGTGAACCCCAACTTGATTTGGACACATCAGTTTCATTTTAGACAACAGCGTAACCTCCAAGCCTGCACATACAGCTGCATTCATCCACGCTAGCCTGGATGAATTTGAAAACTGTGTTTTGGTCTGAAAACGCTGCGCGTCCACACATTGTTTTCGGTCGTTTTCACAGAGTTGTGCGTCCACATTGAAACGGCCGAAAATTTTTACATTCCAGTACTGCATATACGTGAAACGCAAGACGATTCAACCTACCTCATTCCTGTCTGACGTTTATTTACTTGCCGGCTCTTTGAAACGTCGCAGCAAAATGCTGAGGAAAAGCCCCGAGTTTGTTTAAATGGACTAACAATGAGGTGGAGTTGTTGCTGTGAGTAACACAAAAGTACAAAGTTTTAGAATTAAGAATTAGATAATTTGAAGAAAAGCTGTTATCTCAGGTGTGAGTGGTGCCACAGCTCCAGAGTTGAGTTTCTCTTCCAAATGGCCCCAAACAACTCATTTGGGATTTGTTTTGAGTTCCAGGGCATTTTTATTACAGCCATGGTTATCGCACATCCTATCGAGTTTATCTCACATGGTTTATGCTCCTGGTAAGCCTCACAAACTTAAGCCTTGAATATACTTTCAATATCCACGAGTCTGCAACGGTCTGCTTGGGTAAGAGTGACGTGATGTTTGTTGAGCGGTAAACACTAGGGTCCACATGGACTCCAGTAGACGCCATGTCTGCAGTAGAGTATAATGACAGCTTTAAAACAATTTCTTTTCACGCCCACCAACAGATGCAGCACAGAGAAAAAAAAATTACATCATGTTGGCCGGTAATGTTTCTTGCCTTATTGAATTTCCTACTTTTTTCAATACGCATTTTTATATTTCTGGTCAAAAAAACTAAATTGTGTTAAATAATCTGATGGCTTGAGGCAACACCACCCTTTGCACACGCGATCAAACCCACATATACCTTCTCGTCATCTCCGTAGCCTGAGTAACATGTGACCGTGAAGTACTGCAGCAGGTCAATGCTGTCGTCTTCATAATCCCCACTGAGCCCTCCTTTCAGCAAAGCCTCCCTGTGATTGTCATACCTGTAACACAGCAACAGCCAGAAGCACCAATACAATTTATCAAGTCTGCACAAACCAGTACAGCTCAGACTATGAGCAAGGCTCTGGAATCTGAGGGTCGCATTATTCGGACTGCCGTGTTTGTACGAACCAAGCTCTCTCCTGTGGGTCACTCAGGACGTCATAAGCTGCCTGAATCAACTTGAACTGCTCTGCTGCTTCCTCTGCATTGTCCAAGTTTTTATCTGAAAGTTTCAGAAGGAAAAAAAACAAAACACTTTGTATTAGAGGGACTCCCTTGCCTAAAAGACTTATTGATAACCCCATGAAGCAGCAAATCATGATGGTGACATGTTGGTGCAAGAAACAAATAAAGAGATGAGAAATCCGACAAACACAACACAGTCTATAGCAGTGAATTCCTGCAGTGATGTCAGAAAAACACTCACAGCGATGTCACAGTTCTGAACTGACATCTTTTCCTGTTGTAAATGTTGTTATAACTATTTAAATGCTGTCCCTGACCAAACAGCCTAACTAAACAGGACTACAAATAAACTGAAAAGGGCAAACCCTCCCCGAAAACCAACTAAGACTAAACGGCTTAAATTGTAACTACAGTTTTTTAAGTATTCAAAAATTAGATTCTACGATAACTCAACATTAAATCCACTCCCACAATGCTAAATGTTATACACGTATATCTTAGAAGATGCTAACGTCTCAGTACCATTATTATACTGACAGGTTACTACCACTCACCAGGATGCCACTTCAAGGCCAATTTACGATAAGCTTTCTTCAAATCATCGTCTCCCGCGTCACGTTTCACACCCAACACTTCATAGTGACACTTCATTTTTAAGAGCAATCAAATAAACAGAATCAATGATCACGTTGTCCCAGGTGAGGTTAACGGTAGCATTCGACTAGCGACCGGCTAGCACGCCCGCTGTATCTCTGAAAAAGTCAGACTTATTTAGCGGTAGCGACAGTAGTGTGATGTTAGCCCTTACATGTTTACTGTTTCTGTCACTTACAAACACCTTCTATATCTGAAGTTACTTTAAACGCGTCTTGACACCGTAATACACACCACTGTGTGCGGGACTGTCTGAGCTGAAGCCGCTAAATCTCGCGAGATTTCTTCTTTGCTTCTTTCAAATACCAGTAAATTCAAAGGTGTGGCTGATCTTTGTTGCCCTCTATAGTTCAAACTTGATCTGTGATTTTTTTTTTCCAGACTCAGAAGTTGTTAATTAATGTTAAAAATAAATACAATAAATAAAATTAAAATTAAAATCCGACTTCTGGTGAAAAATACGTGAAGCATTCAAATCAAGTCCTTTCCGTTCATCACATTAGCAAATGCTACAGGTTAGATTAGCCTTTCAGCATATGTTTTAATCCCCCCCCCCCTCATTTTCCCTTGGGGGTTGCCAGTTTTGCTGCTCTCTCTTCACAAACTGGAAGCACATCACTTTAACTTTCCGTGGTTACAGATCAGAAGGTATCACTACACTTCCTCTCATGCATTTATCCATCAGTTAACTAATTTCCTTTTAATCAGTCTGTATCAAAAACTTCATTTGAAACAAAGTGTCTTTTTTGTGTGTGCATCCTTACATTTGGTTTCAATTTCCTTAATATCCTGTGCATGCGCCCTGATTTTCTGTCTTTTAACAAAACCCCAAACTTAAAATCTGTGGTAGTTTCAAGTTCCATTTTCAAAGTTTGACTCTTTAACTTTACATTTACATTCTAGTTCAATTATTAGTGTCAAATCATAACAAATGCTATCTCACAGTGCTTTGCATTGCAGGTTCAAGACATTTAAACTTCCCTTCAGTAGAAAGAAGCCATCTGGAAGACAAAAAGCAGTGTTAATGGCGTGTACCAGTGACACACAAATGCCTGGAGAGTAAAAGAAAAGAGAGGCGATGTCTACCCACCTTTGTACTTTTAACACTTGTACTTCTTAACCCTGGAGAACCAATGGGGTCAGATCCGACCCCATTGGTTTACTAGGGAAACAATGGGGTCAAATTTGACCCCATGGGTTCTCCAGGGTTCAATTATCTCCTGGATTTTACAAAGAGGCAATAAAGGGAAGCTAATACGGGAGAAATACATGTGTTTTACTGTCACAGTCAATCTTTCACTACTCGTTCCTCCACATCCCTGTCTTCATGAGCTCATGGCGCCCTCTAGTGCTAACAAGAAAGCTTGATGCTTGTTGAAATAACTACTAAAGACCTAAATTTAGTATGTACCTCGCTGAAAACGAAGGTAATTTACAAGACACCCAAACTGCCACACCTCTGTGTTTTATTCTTTTATAATCAATCATTCACTCACCCACCGTGCTCCACCTTAGTCATTGTGAGCACATGAAAACCTACTTAGAACTAAACTTGAGTCATGTTACAATAAAAAATTAAAGAGGACCTTACGTATTTTAAATCTGCCTTCATCTCATGTTTATGGAGGTCAAAGATGAAAAATAAAACCTATATATAATGTTCAAAAACAAGTAAAACAGCGGCTTGGGTTGTGGCTTGTTTCTCCACACGCAACCCTTTGCGTGTCTGCAGTATTGTTTCCACCAACAGGAAGGAGCAGGTAATTATAAGCAGATTAGGAAGTGGTAACAATGACTTGAATGCTATTCTTCTTCATATAGGAAAACATCCCACTGGGTATTGTCATCATCAGTGCCCAGAAAAGAAAAGACATCAGGGCTCATGATGACATTAATAAGGGAATAATAAAAGGAAAGAAAAAAGACCTATGGGTGCATGGCTGCAAGGGTTAGGATATATGTTGTGTGACAGCAGAGATGAAGATGAGGACTTTGTGCGGTACAGGCAGCCTGGAAACCGTGGCAGCAACATAAGCATCTTGTCATACTGTATTTCAAAAATAACCAGCCGTTATCAGCATCCTGTACCCTAACACTGGTGATCAGGATAAGCGGTCACACATAGCTGGTTACCAACTCACTTGGTCAACTGAGCAAGTTCTGGGGGAAATGATTATTCGATCCCTTGCAGAATTAGTTTGCTCGTTTACAAAGAAATGTCTCTAAAGAAACAGTCTCTAATCTTCACGGTAGTTTTAATGGAGAGACACAAAAGATAAAACCAGAAAATATAAAACACACACACACACATTACATAAAAGGTATGTACCTGTACTTTTACAGTATTTGGTGAGGAAGAAACACTTTTTGGCTAGTAAAGCGGTAAGACGTTTCTTATAGTTGGTCACCAGGTTGGCAACCAGATCAGGAGGGATTTTGGCCCTTCTCTCTAAATCCTTGTGGTTTCTTGGCTGCCACTTGGCAACTGGAAGCTTCAGCTCCTTCCACAGATGTTCAATAGGAAAATTGGACCTTTGGTGTGGTGAAGCTGTCTTGTACTTAGCAGAAAAGGAGTCCGAAAGCATGACGTTTTCACCTCCATGCTTGACTGTGGGAATAGTGTTCTTTGGACGTTACTCAGTATTTCTCTTGCTCCAAACATGCAGGGTTGGGTTGATGCCATGCATGATTTTTAGTTTCTTTTGACCACAGTACTTTCTCCCAAGTCTTCTCTGCTTCATTTAGATGTTCACTGGCAACTAGATGGGCTTTAACATTTGCCTTATCGAGCACAGGGACCTTGGTGGTGCTGCAAGACGTCACTGCACTGCAGCATAGTGTGTTATCAAAGGTCTTCTTAGTGATGGTGGTCCCAACTGCCTTCAGAGCCTCCTGTATAGTTTTAGACTGATCTACTACTTTCCTCATGATTATCTTCATCCTATGAGGGAAGATCTTTCATGGAGTACTAGACCGAGGGTGACCAATGATTATTTTATATTTCTTCCATTTCCAAATATTTGCAACAATTTTCCCTTTCTCTCTAAGCTTCTTGCTGATGGTTTAGAGCTCAGTCAAGCCTTGTGCAGGCCTCCAATCTGTCCCTTACATCCTTTGGCAGCTCTTTGGTTTTGCCCATGGTGGTGGAGAGATGCTTTTTTCTGGATTATAAATTGATATTATCCCTCTTTCATTTAAAAATGAAACTAGCAAAACATGAGAAAAATGAGAGAATCTTCATTTCTTTGGCAATGAGCAAACTTACAATTTCAGCAGGGGATCACATTTCCCCCACTGTAGGTGTGAGCACGTTCACATGAAAGGGGTGATTTGGCAATCACACTGATTATTACATTAACAGAGAATCAAAATAACACAGCTACTAAATCGGCGACATGAGAGAAAAAAAACTGTACTGTTTTGTGTTAAAAGTGCTAGTAAGTAAGTAAAATTTATTTATATAGCGCTTTTCACAGATAAAAATCATAAAGTGCTTTACAACACAGGAAATGGGAACATAAAAACAATATAACAGTAAATAAAGTGTATTGCTGTATGAATTTGTGAGTGCTTTCAGTGTTTTGGACAGTAAGACGGGAAAAGAGCTACATATTGGTAAAGTGTAGCTGACTTCAAGGCAGGAAGAAAAGCTGGGAAAAATGTCGGTGGAGAGTTCATACCTGTTCATCTCTAATTTGGCGTTGTGCCAGAAAGTGTTTTTTACATGTAAGATGTTTGCTTGTATTGGTAATGCATAATGGACCTTCCATGTGTACGGACATGTGCAGGTATATATGTCTGTATATGTATACATATGTATATTTAGTGTGTACATGTGTGTGTACATGTCTATAAATAGGAATAGTAGTGGTACAATAGCTATATCAAGCTATATAGTTTATGTCTTCCATATTTCCAACTATATCCATAATCACATACTGTGTATGCTACCATTGTATATAGTGCATTATCTTACTTTTTTCATTGATTGTACTTATTTGTATTTTTGTATTTCCTTCTGATATCTGTACCTGAGCTGAGGTGATGCAAAAATTTCCCCGTTGTGGGATCAATAAAGTCTTATCTTATCTTATCTTATCTTAAACAGACTGTAGTCAACAGAATTTACAAAGGGATTATATTTTAAATAAAGAAATGACCTGTTTTAGCATTTCTCCAGTGCTTACAACACCATCCAGCCACGACTTCTGAGGGACAAGCTGGAGCTATTGGGAGTGGACCAGCACATGTCCCAGCGGATACTGGACTATCTCACAGAACGCCCACAGTATGTGAGGACACAGGGTTGTGTCTCTGATACGCTGCATAGATGCATGAAGGAGCGTTTCCGCAGGTCCTTCCTCCCTGCAGCTGTCAGACTGTACAATCAAAACGTTCCCAACAAACACAGATGTTTACATCAGTGCTGTAACTTGCACTATTTTATCAACCGATTCACACTACAACCTGGGTTTGCCTCTTATCTTTATTTTATTTTATTTTATTTAATAACGGTACAGTACTCTGTTTTTGGTAACCATTGCCTCTCATGTAAATATGTAAAAATTGTGTATGTTTCTGTTCTGTGTCTTGGGCACTGTTTGTTTGTATATGTGTCTTTCTTGCTGCTATTACATCCAAATTTCCCCTTGTGGGACAATTAAAGGATTATTCTCTTCTATTCTAGTCTATTTAAAAACATGACTTATTATTGGCATTATTGGCATTATTGTACCTACATTATAACCAATCAAGTCCTTTTTGGTCACTTAAAATATCTTTATAGAACTATAATGCTAATTTGTTGCCATTTCTGATACAGCCCCCTCAAAGACATTTTGAATGTCAACAAGACTCTTTAATGGTCATATAAAATTAACCTTACCAAAAACTAATTTCATTTTCTACCTTGTAGCAAGAATGTTGTTTGTGGCTCAAGATGACTTAATAGCGATCACAAGGGAAACATTTGGCACATGCTTCACATGTTATAGGCCAACAAGTCGATTACAGCAATTAAAATACGAGTAATCACTTTTTTGGCGAATACCAGAAAGAACTTTTTGGCAGACGATCACTTAAGGTTCAGAATGAGTTACCATGGCGATGTAACCCGGTAACTGATTGACCTTTTTAGTACAGGGAACCCAGGGTTCATCCTGGAGCTACTTAACAAATAGGCTGTGTCCCAATTCAGGGTCTGCACGCCAGTGTTGCCAACTCCTCAGTAAGGAAAATCGCTATTGGTTGTCCTAGAAGTCGCTAGAAGTCGCCAAATGACGCCATCACCTAATTTGCATAATTGATCATGCTAATGTAATTGTAACCTAAGTTGTTGGAGAGAGAAATAATATCGTGGAAGAGACATAAAGTGAGTAAAAAACGTCCTAAATGCAGTTAGAATTTATTTGGAACTACAAATTAAATTTCTTTTAGCAATTATTGTTTTTTAATGTCACAATTCCAACCCTGCTCCTTTACCCGGGCCTGGACCGGCAAAAGTGACCCGAAATTGGCACTCTGGTGAAGTTACTTTGTGTGTGAGAGTGTGTGTTTATAAGTACTTTTAAACCTTGTGATCCACAAAACAGCATAACAGTAAAAGAAGAATTGACTGCATTACAGTCAGTGCGGGAGCAGCGACTTCACTCATGCGCGATTCATTTGCTGTTTGGACGCACAGGTGTGAACGTCTCCTGCCCTGATAGCAGTTGGGGGAGGACTATCCTCCGCC